AAAACAAACACACGATGCATTTTATGATTATTCAATACAAAAGAATATATAACTGTCACTGTTCATAATTGTAGTACCTCTTACTAGTTCTATATTCAGCTGCTTTGAAAGTACCGCTTCCAGAATCTCGAACAATCGCACGTTGTAACTATAAAATATGAACTTATTTTCTAACTGATATGTGAAAACTTTGATTTCTGCTATATTTTATTTTTTTTTGGTTGGTATATTGATACATACTCTTGGTGAAGCAAGTCTTTTTACTTCTTCAATATCTTTATCACTAATAATATCATGAAAAAGATATAGAGCTGGTTGATCTAATAATTGTTCTTCTTTGGCTGGTCGTAATAAAAGATATGGGTGATTATTATGACGATAACGACAAAATAATTTTGCTGCACGTTTTGGATCCAACTAAATTAATTAAATAGGCAAAAATGATTTTTGCTTGTATTGAAAGAAAATTTTATTTACTTTTGATTCATTTTGTCGACAAAGTTGTTCATATCTTTCACGTTCTTCTAAATAATCCTGTGGTCGTTGATTTTTTATATCAATTTTATCAAGTTTATCCATTGCTGGAAATAAATCAAGAGTTGGTGCATCATCACCAGCTGTCAATCTTTTATTTCGAATAAGTTCTTCATAATGATCTTTATTATTTCTTGCTCGAACATGATCCGGATCTATTAAAAAATAAGTTATTAATCAAGAGAAATAATTAATTTTTTACTTACCAAGAGAAAGTATTTGTTCTGTTACTGCTAAAGCATGTTCAACATTTCCTTGCTAAATACAAAAAAACTATTTTATATAAAAGTTTCATTTAAAAAAATATATCCATTTTACCTGAGATGTTGCATAAGCAAGATGATCAAGAATATTAATTTTGTTAACTGCTGTATTATTAGGTTCTGTATTTAAATGATCAAGAGCTTCTTGCATCCACATTAATGTATGATAGAAATCTCCGCTTGTATATGCAATACGTCCCAAATCATAACATTCCAAAGCTATGACAACAAAATAAAATAAAAATAATTAACTAATGTTTTATACTAACCACTTAATTTTCGTGATTTAAAATTTGAACTGATTTCACCATTTGCTATGTCACTTGTATTCAATTTATAAGTATCTTGTAAACGCATTAAACCAACTGCTGAACCTATTTTTTGGTTTATATAAAAATTAATAAATTATTAAAAAAACAAATGAATTATGTTACCTGTATAATCTTCAAATGATGGAAATAACCAATTATCACCCATTGTTTTTGATATTTCTTAAGAAAAAAAAGAAAAAAAAACGTTTATTTTGACAAGATTTTATTTGAATGAAATTCCATTACCAACAGAAACAGTTTCTTCTACAGTATACCAATCAACTGTTAGATGTTTAATAAATAGATATGCATTAACTGGATTACCAAAATAATAATCTCCATTGCCTTGTGCTTGACGAATTTCATCTTTAATAACATTAAGAAATCTTTGTAAAAAAAGAATAAAAATAATATTATTATTTTATTTATTTTCGAAAATAATTTTTTATACTTTTCTACTTGATCTAATCGTTCATATTCTTTTTTTAAATAAGTTTCTAATTGTTTGGATAATTCAATTTCAGTATTTAATAAATGAGTTAAATGTGTTGTTGATGTAAATAATTCACTGTGAACAAATATTGATTTGATGAGAAGAAAATAGGCAACGTAGATGAGAAACATTGTTTTCTTTTTGAAAATGATCTACAAAAGTGTCAGAAAAAACAACAAAAAAATATACTTGTCGATCGTTCAGTAACAGTTGATGCTAAGTGGAAGAAATATCATACATATTATATAAGAAGAACAGTATGGAAAGAACATTTTTTGTTCAATAAGATTATCGGTCGGATATAGTAGTAGTAAATTTTGCTGTTCTGATTATCGAGAAACGTCTAGTAGGTACTATAACCTCTGTCCTCCTCGCGTAACTTTCCTAGAACAGAACTAACAGAAAATATGTACAGATTGATATTGCGCTCGATCAAGAAGAATTCTCTTCATTAGAGAGAAGCAAATGGATTGGATAAAATTTAGCAAATCAATATGAGTAGAGTGCCTTTATGATGATGATCAATTAAGGATTCTAAGATTTTATTGTTAGTCATATGCAATGACTGGTGACTAAAATAAAATAAAACTAAACTTTAAAATGATTCAAACTCTTTCTACATTGCCATGAAATTCTATAACCTAGAATATTCTGTATGACGTAAAATAAAAATATTTTTCCCTTTTAGATTTTTTTCTTGTTTTTTCTTTCTCATTCTCGTCAGCCATTACGTTTATTGTGCGTCATTGTCAATAATCAAGTGACGTGGACGAAGGCAATTACTCTGTTATCGGTCGTGTGATTCAGCATCATAAGACAATATAAAAGCACAACTTTTTTTGCATTATAACTCATTCTCATCGCGCCAAATAAACTAGTTATTTATTCTCTTTATTTACTTCTTATTCAATAATAAAGAAACAACAATCATGCAAATCTTCGTCAAAACTCTTACTGGCAAAACTATTACACTTGAAGTTGAACCAAGTGATACAATTGAAAACGTCAAGGCAAAAATTCAAGATAAGGAAGGTATTCCACCAGATCAACAACGA